TGTCCGGTTGTCTATGGTTCGTGTCTTAGTTCGACCAGCATTCAAAAATTTGAGTACATTCATTTTTCTAACTGCGATCGTAGAAAAATCTAAAATTAATTAAAAACTTAAAAATAATAAAATCCGCCAGCCAAAATGTAGTTGGAAACCATATAAAAAAGTCAGTGTGTTTGAGGTTTTATTTATTTTTTTTTTCTTTTTATTTGATTTTCTTTTATTTGTATTTTTTTTGTTGTTGTTGTGTTGTTTATAATTGTTTATTGGAAATATTCACTTTATATGCACAATATTTTGAAAACTTATTTTTCTTAATTTTTTCACTTTCACACTAGCGCATATTTTTAAGCATACATGTAAATATATACATACATATGTACGCGTACATACATACATACACACATACATATGTGTGTGCATGCCTACAAATGCAGTTATGAAGCAATTGCCTTTTTTTGCACGATTTCATTGTTTTTTTTTTGTTGTTTTTCGTTTTTTTTTTCGAATGTCTACAATTATAAATATGTGTGTACGTTGATTATAACGACATTGCGAGAAATACACGAGTTATAAAGTTATAGTTTCAGGTTATACATATATGTATATATATAGTTATGAATATCTTTTAAATATATTACTTATATTAAAACAACTTAAATACATAGTATATATGTATATTTTGCATATATATAGTTGTATAGTATATGGTGGATATTAATTACAATACACAAATTCAATATAGTACATACATACATTTAATTATATTACATTAATTAGGATCTACAAAATAATAGTACAATATCTATGTAATGAAGTAGAAACTATAAGAAAAAGTAAGTTTTAAAGTAAAATAAAAAATATTTAAAATTTTACTTTACTTTGAAAAATTCATCGCGAGCACATATGTTCACATCTATAGTAATTACAAACAGCACATAAGCTCGGAAATCTTTTTTGCGAATTATTTGCATTATTTCCGTCTAAGCTTGCTGCATTTTTACTTTCGTAAATTACTGTGAAAAATGAAGTTATTGTTTTTTTTAATTTCAAAAATTTTTTTTAAATTTTAAATTAATTTTCAAGGTATTCAATCGAGCTTTCTGTACTGCACATATTGTCAATTTCCAATCTTACTACATTTTTCAAATTATACAATACAAACGCTTACATTTAGTATCTACATACTAAACTACATACAAGTACATACGAAATACAAACTTATTTAGTTAGTTGAGTTCTAATTTACTCAAACCATAGGCATATGGTGTACACTTAAGCAAATAACGGTTAATTTTTTTTTTTTTTTTTTTTTTTTTTTTTTTGTTTATATACATATAGGTACATTTTCTACATTGCTGAACTTAACAAAAACTATTTCAAATTCTTACAAAAATATTTATTACATTTATAAAAAGCTATTATGTACAAAGGAGGTATATGTTTGCAGGGAGGAAAAGGAAGATTCACACATATCTACGTTCTAAGACATGGAAAAAGTGAACTATGTAGGTTTCATAACGGTCGAAAAAACTAAAATTTCGAATAGATAACTTTTGCAATTTAATTTTTAACAATAACATAGCAACGCTTAACGGTTAACGAATGCATTAAAAAATTTGTATTAAAGTATTTTCTCCAAGTTCGTGTATGTGAGTAATTCTAAATATGTATTAATACATAGTACTAAATATATATTATTATTTAACTTTTACCATTTACAATAGTTATTTAAGTCATTTTAACAAAATATAAAAATGCATTTTAATCGTTTAACAATTAATTAAAGAAGTTTCGTTTTTTTCGTAGTTGGAAAATTTATAAAATTTACATTTACCAATATATATCTATATATGTATATTTAAAGTGTTATATAAAACTACATTTCCGTAAAAATTTTAATTTTTTATTAAAAAAAATATTGTTATTAAAATATAAACGCACTACTACACACTCATATTGTTAAACTAATGATTACAAATAATTACATAATTTGATATATATTTATTATGCTAAATATATGTAGGACTTATAAATATGTATTTACAATAAAAGTTTTACATTTCGAATGTATGTATGTTTGTGCTCATGTCGTTTTCGAAATTTTGCATTTTTATTGTTAGTCCAAAAAAAGTCAATCAAAAACCAAATATGCCCTTTTAAGGTTATGTTATTTGATGCACTTACAAATTTATTTATGCATTTCCTTAGCACTTTTATGCATATATATGCGCATTCGGTCACTGCAATTACGTATTTATGTATATATGTTACAACACGTATATGTAAGTATGTATGAAAGTCCGATTGTCTGATTGGTTTCCTTGCCTTGGTGTTTTCCCCATATTTGTATTTTATTTTATTTTTTTTTAATATGTTTGTATGTAAGTATGTAGTTAAAAGCGTAACTAAAAGCATATTTTCCCCCTTCACTGAATATTGCTCCATGTGCATAAATCCATATACGCTCATACATATTTATTTTCGTAGTATGTATGTGTGTGTGTGTATATATATATTTGTGTATATGTAAGTATTAAGACTTAAGCACCTACTGACCTTACTAAAGCGAAAAAAATATTAAAAAAAAACTCACCACACTTACAAAAGCAAATAAAGTATAAAAATTATATACTATGTAACCATGTATATATGAATCTGTATATACAGATATGTATGTGCTTCTACAGTTACATTTGCTTGTACGTAAGTAAGTGAATGCACTATCACAATATTTCTGCAAGAAAAGAAAGACATCATTTCCACTCTCTTCAAACTTGCAGCCAAAAAGTCACAGGGAAAAAATTGCATTGGCGACAAAGGATTTAAATTGGGCAAAGTTAAGGTTTTCAATCTGTTAAGAAGAATTAAAATACAAATTATTATTAAGTTTTTTTTTTAACGTAACGCGCACAACGCCGCATTTTGGTACGTTTGTACATATACATATGTCTTTATGTCAATGTGGCGCAATTAATTAGAGTGCAACACTTCCCTTGATTTAACAGCGAGGATAAGTTCCATTTGTTAACCTAGTTAAAAATAGAAAAAAACACATATTTATCTATGTATGTACGTACATGTATTATTTATATACTAAATAAAATAATTTGTTCCGCAAAACTAAGTAGAGGATTGTGCGAAGCAAGTAGTGTTCGATTGGTATGTTTTTTAGAAAGAGTCCTTGGTAGCAACACTGTACCTATGTACTTTAATAAACTCAAATGAATTAAGCATGTTGTTGCACACAAGTAAGTTAAATAAATGAAAGCATATAACCGTTGGAGACAGTCTACATTATTTTCATTTAAAATCAACCACCAATTCAATCGTAAAATATCCCTCCAAATTAATTACAATATAAGTAAAAAAAAAAAAATCTTCACATTTTTATTTCTTTGTTTTATTACTTCATTTAAAATAAGTTTTCTTATTAATTATTGACTATTTTAGTTTATTTTATATCATTTCTTTCAGTTTATTTGTTTTAATTTTTATTTTATTTTATTTTATTTTATTTTATTTTATTTTATTTTATTTTATTTTATTTTATTTTATTTTATTTTATTTTATTTTATTTTGTTTTGTTTTATACTATTTTTTGTCGTTTTTATTTATTTTGAAAAAAAATCAAGAAAAAGTTAGGATAGTCGTTTTCTTTATTATTTTCCCCTACCATTTCGAAGAATGCATGGATACACTATATGTACAGTTCCTGCAAAACCTTTAATCAAAGATGTGTATATATATTATGTATACATGTATGTATGTAGCTATGCATATTTGCAATCTATAAGTATGTAACTAAAGCCTTGTATGTACCCGCATTTTTTATAGGATAAATATGTTTATATTTTAAGTTTCTGGCTTGCAACTATTTTATTTAAATATAAGTATGTATGTACGTAGTATGTGCATTTATTCTATTTACAAAAATTATATTGCTTCATTTCTTCATTTGTGTGTGTGTGTTTTTTTTTTAATCAGTCTATTGTTTTCGTTTCCTTACGCTGTGAGGCGATTTTTATTTTTTACAAATACAGAAAAATCAAAAATCTAAAATCAAAAAGAAATAATAATAATTAGAAAAGAAGATGGTTTAGTACAAAGCTAAAACTACCTAATGAACTTAACTTGTTTTTTACTACCTTATATGTATGTAAGTATGTAATAGTAAAACTAAAAGCACTTCTATGAAACTCTCTACCAACTTTGAACACATATGAAGTTTTTTATATTGGCTATTTCATTCAGATTTAAAGAGAAACCACTGCTGTTTTTTTTTTCTTTATTTCACATTCTATTGTGACTTTTTTTATAACTATTTATTTGTACTTGTAGTCTTTTTTGAAAAAGGTAAAAAATAAACAAAAAAAATCAATTCATTTTCTATTGAAGAAATACATATTGTATTTTTTTATGCTATTGTGTGGGTGTATTTGCATGTGTATGTGTGTGTGTGGATGGGTTGGTGGTGTCTGTGTTATTATATGGTATATATGTATGTGTTCATTCGCAATACTAATTCATTTAGTACATTTTCACTTACATTCTACATCCGTATGTAAGTATGTATGTATAGCATTCATTCAATTCATGTGAAAATATTATGTGTTTAAATTACTTATATAACTAAGTATAAAATTATGTAGGTAAATAAACTGACAAGAGCTATTTGATATATTGTTTGTTTGTATATGTACATATAATATATAATGAATGTGTGCGGGTGTTTGTTGCTTTTCTCGGTAGGCTGGCAGTATGTACTTATGTTTTTTTTTCTTCTTTTTTTTTTGACATATATATTTATTATATAATAGCATATAACATATATAACAGTTTAAATTTAACTTTTTTTCTTTAATAGAAAATCAAAAGAGAATTATATATTTAAATACATATCCATATATATATATAATTGGTTTTTGTTTGTATATGCAATATACAATAACTGACTTTTTTCTTCTTTCTTTCGCTTATACAAAAAGGTATTAATTACAATAGCGTTTTTTCTCTTCATTTTTCGCACACACTGCGCTAAATAATTGGTATGTTGGCGAGTGTAAGTAAGTTAGTAACGTAAGCATAAACGCCTAAATGTAGGCCACACTCAACGCCACATGTACATATGCATTTATGTAGATATGTATAACAAATTACATATTCTTTTGCAACTATGTATTTTTATAGTCTATTCTTCAACTTTTAGATATTTCAAAATTTGGAATTCTCTATATATGAGCATTTATACTTGTTTGTAAAATGTTAAGTTCCGAAAAAATTCCTGAGGTAGCATAAAATTATGCATAAATAATAATAATAGTAATTTTTAACATTCATAAATTGAAATTTCAAATTTAGTTTAGTTATTTCAAAAAAAAAAAAAAAAACAAATTTAAAATTATGTGTCCCAATAGTGAGCTCACATTGTAGGCACGTGTTGGTGCTGTTGCTGCTGCTGTTGTTTCTGTTGTTGATGATGTGATTGGTGAGGAGGATGATTATGATGACCTTGATGGTGCTGATGCTGATATTGGCGGTGCTGCTGTTCCACCGCCAGGTGTTGTTGCTGCGGCTGCTGATGATGATGTTGGTACGCGGTGTTAGTATAAGGTTGCAGATTACGGCTATGTTCTTCGAAAATGATTTCCATTTTTTGCATACACTCATGCAGGTATTCCTGAAAAAGGGAAGAGAAATATAAAAGGTTTGCTGAGTATAAATCATTTTTAAATTTATTAAAATATTTTAATTAAATAAATAAAAATATTTCTAATTAAAATGTCTTCAATTAAACAAAACGATTTATGTAAAAACACTATCTCTTTGCAAATTAATCAATTAAATTTGCAGAACAGCTCGAAAAATAAATTTAAAAAATATAAGGAAATTATTTAAGAAATCTAGAGTATTTTATATAAAAAAAAAATTTAAAAAAAAATTATGAAAATATATTTTTCTATTAATGACTCCTCTATTTAAACTTACATTCATCGCCTATATGTCCTCACTTTGGCGCAACCGTTAAATGCTTGCATATTGTTTGTATATTATAACTATTTATGTATATTTTTTCAATATGATTTGCGCATTATCAAATATAAAAGAACTCAACTGAGTAAAAGGTTACCTACGCTCTGCCGCCTCAAAACAAACGCGTACATTATTTCAAATACGCCGGTATAGAGCAATAAAGTATTCAGAGTCGCACTTTTTAAATACTTAATTAACCTTTTGAATGCATACATAAAAATTAGTTACATACATACATAGGTGCATACATAAGTGCGTCTACTCATTGCATAAAATTCGCACAATCGCATCATTGTACACAAAGTTGATTGTTTATTTATACAAACCAATGTATATATGTCTATACATACATATATGTTTGTGTTTGTATGTATGCATGTTCGACGATTTTATGCGTTTTCTTGGTCATTTGCAAATTAATGAAGTCTCATAAAAATTAATTAGTCGCACATAAATTGGTGGGACCCGTACAGGATATTTTCGAATTGTATGAAATCAAGGCTTGAATGTCACATTTACAAACATACATATGTATGTATTTACAAATGTATGAATACGATTAAGCACACCATTAAAATCCAATTGAATTAGTGGCAACTACAGCAAAGATATCACCGTATGTATGTATGTAAATAATATGATTTATCTAGTTATTTTGTATTCTCAAACAATTCATATTATTTTTTCTCAACATTTTCTTAAGCTCTAACAACTTTACCTGCTCAATACTGGTCAAATCGGTTAATAAATCCAATAAATGACGCATCTTGTTGCCAGTACGTAAATGCCAATTTAAACCATTCAAAGCAGCGGCAATACTCGCCGCAGCAATGTTACTGGCTGAATATATAGAAAAATAGTGTTCTGAAAGAAAAACAAAGAAAAAATAGAGAAAATAAGATTAAAAATATAATAAAAAATAAATAAATATAATACAGTATAGAGAAATATTAATGATGAAAAAAAATTAAATTAAATTATAACAAATTAATCTAAATAATTATATAATTCATTAATAAAATTCAAATAAAATTAAAAATTAATGAAACAAACTAAAATCAAATAAAACGAAATAATTTAATATAAAACAAAATAGAGCGTAAATTAGTTTATAAAAAAATAAATTTAATAAATGAAAAATATAAACAAAATAAAATAAAAAAAAAAATTAGTAAAAAAAAATAAAATTATATAATTAAATGAAATTATATTAAATATTAAGAAAAAACGCAACAAAAAAATAATATAAAACAATTAAAATAACTATAAATCAAAATAAACCAAAACAAATAAAATATTATGACTTTAAGTTAAAATAAACTTTTAATTAAGTTTATAATTTAATTATTATAAGCAAATAAAAGAAAACGCAAAATAAACTATAATGACGTAATTTAAAAAAAATACCATTAACCTAACATAAACCAACCTTATTAAATTGATTTAATCAAACCAAAATTAGTAAATATAAAATAGAATAAATTAAATTGAAGCAAAGCATACAGATAACAGAATATAAAGAAACTGAAATAAAATAAAATAAAATAAATTAATATTTATAAAAACAAAATCATATAAAAATAAATTAATTAAAACTAAATAAATAAATTAAATTAAATTAATAAATAGTTATTTACATATATATACAATTGGCGCTTCGTAATCACTGAAGCGATTTTTTGGCCGAGTTTCTCCTCCAATTTGTGGTTTTGCGACTTAATGTTTTTCCAACAATTGGAGGGATCTACAGTTTATACTAAGCCGCCTCCGAACGACTGATTGTTATATTACGAAGGGCCTTTATTTCATGTCCGAAATACACTCGGAGGGGTGGACATTCCCTGCCGAGGGGCGACCGCAATTAGAAAATTTACCCTAATTTCTTCATTTAAATTAATTTTTCAGAACTTTTGGAATGGAATGTCAGTAAGCAACGCTAACCACTCGATTACGGTTAAATTAAATACAACTATGTTTAATTAAATTAAAATAGCGGCAAAGCATACTATCATACGGAAGACCGAGGTCCGAGTCCTGTTCCGACCAGCATTCAAAAAATAAAATGAAAATATGTAACACAAAGCATAATTAAATTAAATTAAATTATTAAGACAAACTAAAGTATATTAAACTAAATGAAAACAATAAATTAGTTAAGTAAAATAAAATAAAGCAAAAAATTAAATAAACAAAATATTGTAAAATAAAATAAGTTAAATTAAATTAGGTAAAAGTGAAGTAAAATATAAATGAAAAATAGGAAATAAAATTAATTAATATAAAATAAAATAAGATAAAATAAAACAAACTAAATAATATAAAAAAAAAACAAAATAAAATGACATAAAATAAAAGAAGACAAAATAAAATAAGACGAAACAAAAAAAATTACATAAAATCAAATAAATTTCATAAATACTTATAACAGAAACCAGCCTAAGTTGAAATAAAATATATTATATTACAACAATTTAACATGAAATAGAAAAAAATTAAAATAGACCATAATAAAATAAATTCAAATAAAATAAATCATATTAAATTAATTTAAATTAAATGAAATTAAATGATATAAAACTAAAATAGCATTAAACATCATATTAAGTTAAATTAAATGTATTGTAAAAATATAAAAAAATATAGATATATATGCACGAAAATATTAAAAATTCATTTACAGTAGTAACATTTTAAAGTCAATAAATTAATTTTAATTATGTGTAAAATACTCGATTTCACAACAGCCGATCCACTTAAATGTAAAAATATATGTATGTACATACATACATATGTAGCATGTAGTAAACTTAACGAGGGTGCGGGGTGTTAAAAACAACAACTATGCAAACCCTAAAATATAGATATATGCTTAGCACATGCGGCCAATTAAATATTGTTTAATGGTAAATTAATGAAGATTGCAACTATGAAAGCAGAAAAAAAATCATACTTTACTGTAAATGAACCCTTAAAACGAATTATTTATCAGTAATTTAATTATGAAATTCAAAAAAAAAAATACAAGTACAACGCATGCGCTTTTTCCACCAAATCACCATTTTAGGTTAGGGAAAATTTCGGACTCAATTTCATTTCATATATGTATGTTTGTATGTACATATGCATAGTGCATGCTTCAGTCCTTCGTAAATTCTCATCTAAAAATTAAACTGGTGAACACCAATGGCTCAACTAATTATCATCAAACAGCAGCACGACCGCTGGAACTCTGCATGAATGAATGTGGGCTATACAAACATTTCGCACGCACAAATGATGAATACAATAACAACTACAGAGGGATTGGTTAGCTGAAAAAAGCAGCTGTATAAAGAATCATCATTATGATCACTTACACACACACACACACACACACACATACTCGCACATCCTCCTCCGCTTAGGCAGCACCACTTCAATCAAATGAATGTAATCGATGCGATTCGATTGAAACCGATCGCAATCATCAATGACGACGGTGCTGATGATGGTGTTGGTGATGGGAGTGATGATGATGGCAATGCCATGGAAATTATTATTAGCTGAGGTTATAAAAGATCGATAGACAGACTGACAGACAGACGGACAGACAGGCAAGCATAGGCGGAGCACGGATTTTGCATGTGTTCTATTGTAAGCCGCGACCATCCGGGCAGCTACTAATGCAAGTCTTATTTTGTATTCTTCCAACAACAAACCACAACAATGTAAGACAAATGCAACATCTGTTTAGCAGTTTATTGTTGTTGTGAATGACGAAGTTTGTGAACTGCAAATGGTGAGACCCTGAAGCAGTCAAAAGTACAACAATGCAACAACAACAACTATATGGAAATTAACAACTGATTTGCAAAATGTGTGAAAGTATTTTCAACATTTTAAATTCATTCACACATTATGAATTACAGCATGGCACAGTGGTTGAATACTTAAAAGAAAGAAAGAATTTTTCCAAAAAAAAATATTTATGCCTTTTGACGAAAACTAAAGAAAAAATATATAAAAATATAAGTTAACTTAAGAGGAGGTCAAAATGGAATTTAGACTATTTACGATTTTTAATGAATATAAATTAAAGTTTTAAATATTAGGCTAAGTAAAAAGTTCGTTCGGTTTTTTTTATTTATTTTTCAAAATATGATTTGTGTACATTTGACCGATTTAAATTTTGTCGTAAACTTGTTCCCAACGAGATGCCAACTTCATTATACCCCTCTCGTAGAAGGCTCTCTTAGATAAAAAACGAACGAACATTTTACTTGACCTAATATTTTAAACTTTAACTTATCTTTATTAAAAATCGTAAATAGTCTAAATTCCATTTTTTTACATTTTTTGCTGAATAAAAAAATTGAGGCTGAGTTCCAAATTTCGTTTCTTGAGAACCGTTAGAAAACCAATGCGACGATCACAAAGAAATAATGTTTTTTTGCCTTCTTCAAATTCTGCGATAGATTGACCCACAGTGCATTGAAAATTTCGCCACAGTCCGTTACATTAACAGACGCTGACGACTCAGATGCATTTGCATTTCTACATACATATGGATATACATTTTTCAGCGACCGGAAATGGGCGTAGAAATTATTGCGAGACAGCGCAGCGAACACATAAAGTTCAGACGCAGTTATTCATAGATTTCGTGCTTGTACAATTTCATAAATGCATGTGTATATACATAAATATGTACATATTTACATATTTGCATTCATATGTATGTATATAAACGATTGCAGTTTTGTGGGTTTGCAAGCTTTAAAGACGCCTGCAGGCGCTCGAATTGAAGTTGTGAACGGAAAAACAAAAAAAAAACAAAAAATGAAAGAACAAAACAACAACACAGGACTAAGAAGAAAATGACTATTAAACAGACCTATAAAGACACATATATGTACATATGTACGTACATACAAACGATATTTACGCATATGCATTTCGCGCACATTAAATCCCCAACGGAGACGGTGGTCTTCACAATGACTGTCGCTGCCGCTGCCGCTGCTGTTGCTTTTTACAGTTTTAATTAGCAATGCAATGTTAAGCAAGTCGCCGCTTCATCGACTACGATTCGTTGCCGTTGTTGTTGCTGTTGCTGTTGCTGTTGCAATAGTGGCGAAATTGGTAGTGCTTTTAATTTGAGCACTGTGGGTTATGGTCGTGGTAACGGCAACGGCGACGGTGTAGAAGGGGCCACAGACCACAACTAATTGCTCGTTAAGTAAAGCAATAACAATAAGAGACCTTTTCAGCAACAACAGCAATCGGCAAACTCAGAAACCCCAAGTTCAAACACGAGGCATTTGAGAGTGTGAAAAAAAAATCACACACACATTTACACAAAGGATAACATATCCACAATCAAAACATAACCTAATTTGAATTATGAATGAAAATTCAAATTAAAAAATAATAATTATGAGCAGCAATAATAAAAATATAACAAAAAAATTTAAAAATAAAGGAAAGAGAAAAAATTATATAATTAAAGAAAAACAGTTATTAAAAGATAATAACTGTATATAATATATAAATATGAGTGTAATTAAATATAAATATAAATATAAATATAAATATAAATATAAATATAAATATAAATATAAATATAAATATAAATATAAATATAAATATAAATATAAATATAAAAAAAATTATTTAAAATTAATTAAAAAACTACACGAATTTCGAAACATATAAAAATTTTAAATTAATTAAGAGATTGGTAATTAAAAAATAACGTTAGAAAAAAATAAATTTATAAAGTTTCTTTTTGAACATTAGGAACAATTCAGAATTTTACTAATTAACTAATTTTTTAAAATATAAAGCATTTAAAAAAATTTCAAAATTTTAAATAATTTGAAAAA